ATGCAAAACGGACCATTTTATGTCGGTGCAATAGCTTTGGTTTCTGCAGATTTGTCGCAACTGTAGCCCAGTTATTGGCATCTTTAATTCTCCTGAATTAGGCGCAGCTCATCACTTTGGTGGTTACCAAAGCTCGAATATGCCTTTCCGATGCATGTTAGTGCTTTAACAATAACACCGACTTTAATGTTACAATCAGCCATAGTTCTGATTTGTATTTCATTTTCTGTGTTTAACTCGTTTCCGCGGGGCATTTTAAGTTATTATTAATTTAATTTAATTTAATTTTAAGAAGCCTCCAAATAATCTGCTTGACAATTCAATTTTTTTTTCTGGGCATAATATATGGGCATACACTTAAAATGTAAAAGGATAAATTGCACAATTTTCTATGAAATTCGTGACTTGGTATTCTTCTTAATTTTAACGGTACTAGAGATTAAGAGCTGATAAAAAACAAATGTATGACAAAACATCACAAAGCATAAGGGATAAAATTCGTATACACAAAACATATATATCTCTATTAAAATATCGGTAATATCAAAAACAAATTTTGCACAAATATCAATTTTATTGAGGTACGACGGGTGATACTTGCTTAGGTCATACAAGTACCAGTATGTCGACGGATGGAAATTTTAACTTCTTGAAGATTGCGATATTCATACAAAACAATGCACATGATTTTTGAAAGAGAGAATCAAGCATATATGGCAGGTGCACCAACAGGCAAACAAATGGGAATGTAATTCTCATCTTATCAATCTGATCAAGAAAATATAAACTTATCTACTGCTCCTCCTTCTGGGTATTTCATAAATATAGTCTTTTTATTGTATTCTTTCTACAAGTATATAGATTAGTGCGCTGCTAGAGCCACTAAACTGGCTGGTCTTTACGAACAAAGAAATGTATGCTATGTATGTATGGGAGATGACTATTATGCAATAAGTACTCAAAGGCTCTTGGCTCAGATCTGTTCAGCTCAGATGATACAGTATAAAACCTTCAAGTGGAATCAGAATATAGTTGATGGATGTAAGCTTTGCTTTCAAAGAGCTTCTCTACACTTAAGATGTGGTACTCACATTCTCATTGGGTTGAACAATTTAGTTTGTTGTTGTAAGTAATTTGCGAAAATCGGTTTGTCGTTGAAATGAATGTAAACATGTCGCCTGGGTTAAAGAGTGCGACCGGGGCCAAGAAAGGATAATTCAAAAGCCAATATGGTGGCTCGGACAAAGGTGTTTTGTTTTCATGACTATGTTACTCCTTCGGCATTCATCCGGACCACTCGTACTCGTGCTAGCGAAAGGATAATTTTACGATCGTTACGCCCGTCATCTGAGGCAGGTACCGCGCAAACTAAGTGGGCACAATAAAACGCCCTTTTCGCAAGCATTGCAAATTCGTCGATGTCCGGTAATGGAAAAAGGAGTGGTCACTTTCCGGCTGTTTGGTATGGAATTATTTGACTAAGGCGGGCTTTATTTTGGCTATTTAAAGGATTACGCTAAAGGATTGACTTTAAGACCTTCATGTCTTTCCACGAAGGATGCATAACGAGTTAGTTGTACATAGATTTATGGTGGTGTGCACAGAAATTTGTGAGTAGGTTTCAAATGAAGCAAACCGGTTTCCCAGAAGGGCACCGAAGAGTTATTGCAACTCTTTTATAGCTTGTTTTTTAGATTCATTCCATTTAGAAGCAAGCTTTCAACAACATTTCAAAGCTTTTACTTGCCACCCATTTATGCAAATGCTTGTCTATAAGTATTTTAGTTTTGTGCGAGTGTACATGGAACACACAGAAGGAGGAGTGGCAGACACCACAAAGTATATATATTCTTGACCAGCATGACAAGCCGAGTCGATATAGCCATGTCCGTCTGTCTGTCTGTCCGTCTGTCCGCCTGTCTGTATGAACGCAAGGATCTCAGAAAGTATAAGAGATAGAATAGCTAAACTTGGTATCTATATTCTCCTGAACCCGAGAAAGGACGAGTTTGTTCATTTTTCCAGATGCACCCCCCACTCCCCCCCTATTCGTGATTTTCTATAGCTCCCGTAATTCTTGGAATTTTGAACTAAAATTTGGGTGACACATCCAGTTAGGGATTATATATCCGTATACCAAGTTTCATTATGATAAGTTGATTAGAAAGTTATAGCCATATAACCAGGCCCAATGCACACTTACATACATATGTACAAGTACCCAAACACACATAGGCACGATTCTGATGTGTAAATGTATGTATGCATGTATGGAATATTTTATATTTAATTTAGTAAATTATTTAAATTAATTTAATTAAATGAATTAATTAATTTAATGAAATGAATGAATTAATTAAATTAAATTAATTAATTTTTTTGTGGGGTGTTTAAGAGTTGAGCCTGCTCGACTTTAGCATTCCTTTCTTGTTTTTAAAATTATATTGTAACTAATTGAAACATTTCTTTATAATTTTAAAAATGAGTCGATCCTTCCTTGTTGTGATTGGTCCCATAGATCTAATTTGGAAGCAATTCCTACAACTTTTCAATATAACTTAAAGAAATGGCTGACCAAGCACTTTTAATGCCTTCAATTAATTCCTTTTTGGTAGAATACTGTCTGCCAGATTCGTAAACTTTGCGAACCAGCCATCCCCGCACGTTTTCTATTATATTGGTGTCCAGTGAGTAAGGCGCCGCTTCAATAAATCGACGTTTTGTGCTTGATTACCTAGCAAATTTTTGAAATGGGGAAAAACAGCTTTCGGTACGTTTTTATAAGTGTTTGCATTCATATTTGTGTTAAAAAATAGCAAATCGGCATGATGCTCCTCCTTCCAAGGATCATGGAAATAATAGGTTTCTCCATTTGGTCCCTCCAAATAACATTTGTTTTTATCCGAAAATAAAAGCTCTAATCAACATTTTATAAGAATTGGGTTTAATCGTATTTCCTTTCCTTAAGTGGTGATTTTTTCTCTATTTTCAACCTTTTCAAATGTGGAGCATTTCTTATCACTCTTTGAACAGTAGATAAGCTGGCTTCAAAACCAACATTTACCCTGATCTTGCTTCTTTGAAAATTGCTCTTTTATCAGCATCGGAAATCACTTTATTATTACCACATTTATAATTTATACCATACCCAGACTTGTTATACCCTGTACCCAAAGGGTACAACGGTATATTAGTTTTGTGCGAGTGTACATGGAACACACAGAAGGAGGCGTGGTAGACCCCACAAAGTATATATATTCTTGATCAGCATGACAAGCCGAGTCGATATAGACATGTCCACCTGATTAAAAAAGAATGGAATCCTTACTAAAACGCCAATAATGTAACCAATGGTTTAAAAAAATTTCCTTAAGAAACTCCTAAATAGCATGCTGTTAGTTCATAATCATCATCGAAACATTGTCACTTTAAATAATAAGGCAATATTATTCAAAAGCCCCCAGCCAAATAAAAAATTACAAATCGATCGACACCGTGATTAATATTGAAGACATTTAAATTCACGAAACCCTTCTGGACTGCCGCCACATAAATTGAAGGGAAAATTCGGAATTACTTTTGAGAAATCAAATCCTTCCAAGCATGTACGATGGGACGAGACTGCTTATTAAGGAATTGCAGGAAAATGTAAGTGTAGCAACTATTATCAACGGGCCACCAACTGGTCAACTAGCTCATATAACGAGGATACCGATGATCCCATTTGATCATTTATATGGCTTCAATTTCCGGTAGTCCCAAGGCCAAGCCTTCGAATTAGTAGGGATCGACATACGAAAGCAATGTTTTACGGTATGTTGAGTTATCACGGGTCGGAGCTTCAGAAAATCAACTCATAGCAAAAAGAAGGGTGTATGTGTGTTAAGTGTGTGCATGTTATAAAATGTATAATTTTTAAAATTTTTGTGAGAATAACCGTGGGCACAAAAACGCTCCTAATCAGTGGTCCCTTTCAGTGAAGGATATATGTATTTGTTGGGCTTGTATAGATATATAGTATACATATATATTAAAATTCCAATATATATATGCTGATCAATATAGCGTAGCCATACAATGGATGTATTTTTTCGTGATTTTTGTACAATGCGGCACAAATTCAAATTTGTCTGCAAAATTTTTGTTCCGTTCAGAATCTAGACTTCTAGAAGAAGAAGAGTGAGTGTGGAGGTAAATGCTTGTCTCTATTATTAGGCTTCAATAAATATCTGAATGTTCAGCTTTGTTTCCTTTGCTTTTGTTTGCATTATAATGCTACCATAGAACTGATCTGACAGTAGTTCGAAACAATGTTAAAAAAATTATTTGTGCCGTAATATTTGATCATATACATACTATATGTATTTGCGAAACAAACGCGCTAGCATTGTAGCTTAATGATAACCGAAAACGTACAAGCCATAGTTTGATAAAACGGCAAATTAAGGATGTGACCGACATTCTTACCCATACGCGAGTACATACGAGTACACACGTACCGAGAACTGTCAGAAAAGGGAATGAAAAATGACTAACCAGTGTCTCTCCTCCAAACCTGAACAAACATTAGAGAGCGGTGGTGGTAGTGGAGCGACCGGACACACAAATGCCTAATGCTTGCTCTATCGAAAAGAGGGATTTTTATGGAAAATGTGACAATCCGGGGATACAAAAGCAACAATATCGAATTGGCAGCTGTTCGAAATTGAATACTACTATATGTATACTTGTACTATATGAAGTTGAAATTGAACCATCGGTTATGGGTGGTTGAACCGTACAGTTCCTTAGTTTGAAGGTGGACAGTTAAATTTTTAGTTTATACATTTAATAAGTTATTGAATACTTAATTATATTATAATACAAATAGCTATTACTATATATTATTTAACAAATTCCTTAATGCAGCATTAGATAAACGATGCCTCACCGCACTGGCAGCCCGTAATTGTAAAACCTGTGCATCCCGACAACCCATGGCCAGCCACTGAGTTGTTTATTCAATCGCCGTTGTTATTGCAGAAAGCAGCATTATTTATGGGCACCTCACAGTTTTTGGCCGCTGTCAGCGGTGCCGCCGTACACGCAATGCGATCTCGTCTCTGCTCACGATGAGGGTAGAGCTCTGTAGGGAGTACGTGTGTGTGTTTATTGCTGGTACAGCGTGGCTCGCCTCGGTATTGGCACATCTTCTCGTTTGCCATTTGCGTGTCACCGGCAAATGGGCGAAAGTGCGCTCAGATCGCGGCGAGCTTGAATTAGTTCCGGTGTGTGGTTCCCGTGGACTCTCCTTGCCTAAGGTACATACACATCCTGATTGGATGGTACAGCTGGTAGTGCCTGCTGATGCTCTTGCGGGTGCTGCAGCTGCTGTTGTTGTTGGTAGCTGCACTGCTGTGTCTGTTGATGATACTGCGGTGCGGTTGTCGGCACGTAGTGAGTTTCGAACTGTTGGCCAAAATGCGGTGGCGGCTGGTGTTGGTGTTGATAATCACTGAGTGGTGAGTAGCTCTGTGTGCTTTGGAAATACGTGGGGTATGTCGAGTACGGTATTGGCATGGCAGGCTCTGACTTTTGGGAATGTGACGGCGCAGACATAGCGACAGCGGGATCCAGTGGTGGCATGATAGCATACGCATTGCTGTAGTGCTCTGGAGAACCCTCGAGCGTACGATCTTTCTTCGACTTCATACGTCGGTTTTGGAACCAGATCTTTATTTGCCGCTCACTCAGGCTTAATGCATTCGCAATATCAATACGACGACGGCGTGTGATGTAACGATTAAAGTGAAACTCCTTCTCCAGCTCTAGCGTCTGATAGCGTGTGTACGTCTGACGAGTGCGTTTTGAGTCCTTACATTCTACAACAGAAAATGATACATCTTTAGTAATCAGCTTTTTTAACATTGAAATTGTACTATTTTTTCTGCTAGATAATAAAGCAGGCAATAAAGCGAGAAGATTTAGGAATGGCGGTGCCTACCTGATGCTAATCTCTTCTCGATGTTCGACCAATTGTGTTCAGCGGCTGTCAAAATGTGATGATTGATTTCATTTTTCTGCTCCGACTGCTTGTGCTGATTGACGGCTGGCGACAAGGGTGGTGTGCTTATGCCATTGACTAGCAGGTCAGGCGTGGTGATCGTTGTTGTTACTGATGCCACTGGTGGTGGAGTGGGATAGTCATGGTGTTGATAGGCTGTGGTGCGCGGGGGTGCTTTGGCAGACTGCGGCGAGTAGACGTCCAGATAATCAACATCGCTGCGTTGAGGTGACATGTGCATTTGTTGAGTCAAAGGCGTTGGCGCTCCAAAGTCCTGCTCGTAGCTGGGCGGCGTTTGAGGCGACTGTTCACTTACATTGGTACCACTTTTTTTGCTACCAAGTGCTACTTTCACATGCTCGAAGGTCGTGTAAAAGTAGTCTGGGGTATACTTTAGCTTTTTTACGGGATTTGTCAGTAGTGCTCTTAACGTGCTGGGACGCTCCTCAATTGCTTCCTCAGATTTTTCCTCGGCCTTGCGCTTTTCCGGCTTTACAGGTGACTGTATGTGAGCATTTTGGGGACAATGCTGGAGCCCCCGTTCTTGCGTTTGCTCCGTGAAGCCGTAGAAGTTTTCGTTGTAGACGTTCAGATCTTGGCCATGATGTGGGTAGCTTGAAGCATAAACGCCATTGGGCTGCCAGCTCGGTGCCTGTTGATGGTAGTAGTTATTCCCACTCTCGTAGTAGGTGGGGATACCGGCGTACATATTATGTGTGGTAGAAGTTGAGTTAAAGGAACAGCTGAAGTCGGTGTAATAATAACTGTGTGTGTTAATGGCTGCCATTTCGTGTCCTGCGTTGTCCTGCGATGTGAACGCGACGAGTCTAAGTTTGCGAATGAGCCACTCTGTACTACGCTGCCATCTAAAATACCCAAAATGCGTTCGCTGATTTTAGGCACACGACCTCGCTGCGCTGTTTCGCTCGTCATAGCGCATAAATATCCCTGCGCATGGCACTTTGACACATGCTGCGAACCAGGGTCACTCGCAGCGACTTCCCCTCCCTCAAAGAGAGTAAATGCAAGTTCAGGTCAAATTTATGACTCGCAGAGAGACCACATCACACTAAGGGAGAGCGCAATAGCAAACTTCACATTTTATCCGAGCCAAGTTATCCGGGAAATTGACCTGCGACAACGATCTACTACTGCTATCGCGCCCAGTACCAACGTGAGCAAGAAGTCGTTTTGACAGTTATCAGCTTCCCCTACTCCTCGACTTAGATTTTCTTCTTGTCGTGTAAGACCTTGAGACAGAGAGTGTCGCGCGCAGTCCTTGTTACCTCCCACGACCCGTAATTAAGTCGCAATGTGCGAGGGCACCAGCGCAAGTGCGAGCGGAGTACGCGATGGTTGTGCACTCTTCTAATTGCAATAATCATAAAGACATAAAAAGACTGTAAACTGCGCTGAGATTGGTGAACAAATGGCTTTTCTAGCTATTTTATTGTAGTTGTTATTGTAGAAGAAAATTTGTAAAAATTTCTCTGGATTTTTTTCTTGCCTGTCTCGTAACGCTTGCCTGTGCATAATTAAATAATTTTGGTTCGAAACACGGCAGTAGTTAATGCAGTGCTTTCCTGGAAGTACAACTACATTTTTGGATCGGGACTGCCAAGATGAAAGCCATCAAGACTAGACATTCGGTTGCGCGTGCGTCGCTCTGGCGCGTGCGCCCCTTTTTTTTTTTACTCATTCGTAGGCATCTCTGGTTAATGAAAATCCAACTTCTCATATCACTGCACTTTCGTAGTTTTTGTTGTATGTTTAGTCGATACTGCCGATGCCGTCAGGAAACCTAACAGATTCATTGGAACAAACATGACTTTGTGATCCCTCGAGCGAGCACAGTTGCTTGATATGTTGACACCCACCCCAAGTTACCCTTACGACCGACGTAGTCCTGGCATATGGACATTTTGTACATGTGTGCATTTTGCCAGTTTTGTCGTTTAACGCCACACACTATTTCGGCTGCTATCCTCCATATTATTGTTGTTGTGGGGCGCATCTTCGGTGACGGGCGAGCAGAATTTTTAGCACTTTTCAGTTTGACAAAACGTTACAGCTGACCAGTCGACGACTGACACAGGAGCGTGGATATATGTCGTATGTATGTGAACTCTAATGTGAACGATTCGGAGTAGAGAGGTATTTTTGTATTGTCGGTTTTCTTATATATTCGTATTTACGAGTATTTAGCGAATATACATATACAAATATTTTTAGTTTTTTTCTCTCAGCAAGTCAAGGCAACTTTAATTGAGTTGTAAGACCCACATGCGAGTGTACGACTGCAGCACACCCCATCTGTTAATTCACTTTTATTGCCGAATTAATAAATTACCTTGTCACTGAATCGGGACCATCCCATTTCTGCCATGTATTCCGGGTGCCTGGAGACGACTGTGTCCGTTGTCCCTTTTCGCGTGCTTTCCCGTACTTTTGCGCTACTGTCATGAACCCTCCACAAGCGTTGGTACTGCAATTCGCACATTGCTCACAGAGAGCCGTCAATGCGATCGGAGAAAGATCCGACACGTGTCTATCAGCTGCTACAGGGGGTGTACTTACGTACTCGTCTATACTATCTGGACATACACGTATAGTACATTAGGTACTGTGCAAATCAAGAGGTTTATTTGAAATGTACATTTACAAATATTTTACATACACACGTATTTAAGTAAATGGATTCTGAAAATGTAACAGTCTAAGTTATTGAATCAATTTCATTTTAATCTATATGTATCTGGACCAATGGGATCCCGCTATGGTTTTAATGGTTTGGTATTCTGCACCACTTTTGCTAAAAACGACAATATTCCATTAAAACTTACATACAAATATACGTAAATTGTTCATGCAGGTTTTCAAAACCTTAAATTACCATCAGTTAATATTTGTAATGGTTTTTGTCAAATTTGATTATAAATTCCAAGTCTGCCAATTCATTCATTCATTGTATTATATACATTGGTACCGAGCTACGAAGCATAACTCTCCATCGACTCGGCATTTTTCCCAGTACAAATATTATTATAGTTCAACTGTATAACACACCATTTTGGTAAAGTTTAAAAACCAGATACCAGGACTTACTCATATTGTAAATGTGCTGCAGTGCTCCCGATTAAATTTGGTGCCCAGCGCTGTCTTAAACTATAAAACGAGTACAAGTAGAAATGTGGTTTCACAATTCTAGCTCATTTGAAAACTTGAAAAAAATGTAATGTTGTAATGTAATGTAGCTGATAATGCAAGAGTTGATTTCATTGCAAGTCTTATCACATATTTACATATTTACATCGATTAATCGCGTCATGCTTATTATTCTGCTGAATTTGAATCAAATCAGTTCCCAACACCAAATTATAAATTTGCTAAAAATACTCTACTTTCAATTTAAAGTAAGTATATTTCAGGAGGGTGCAAAAGTTAAAAGATCGCAAGGCTATTTTGTTCACAGATTCTTTTTCTAAAGCTGTGTAAGCCACACATCGTACAGCACATAAATTGATATTTTCCAATATTGTGAGGGTTTTTACGAAGGATGATTATGTCTTTAGATCTGACTTGCAAATAATGTTCGAATCTGGAACCATGGGCATAGCCAGGATTTAATCTAGAAGGACCAGATTTGTTTAAGCAAATTTTTATACTCTGTTCATGAAATGCACAATGTTTGCGGGAGCTGCAAAATATAACAAGCAGAAGGAGGTGTGGCAGACCTCATAAAGTATATATATTCTGTCTGTCTGTCCGTCTGTCCGTATGAACACCTGGATCTCAGAGACTAAAAGAGCTAGAAACACAAAATTTTGTCCGTATGCCAAGTTTCATAATGATAGGCCGATTTAACAAAAAGCCATATATATAGTATAATGTCAGGCCAAGCACTGCCGCAGCTGTTGTTGTTGCTGTTTTGCATGGGCACACGAGACATACATATACACATACAAACACGCATAGACACGCATATTTATTCAACACATACATATGTACAGAGTATTTCAAAGTCGGGACACCCGACTTTAGCAACATGCAAAATAATGAAAATGTGTTCATATACTTGTAGTACAAACGTATTTTATTCTCAAAGATAATAGAAACTATATAGTAAACTTAGATTATAATTTGAGAACTTCAAGTTATAAAGTAAAGTCTTCAACATTAAGCTTAAGCATGGAGCAAAAATAAAGCAAACGCAGCATTTTATTCTTCGTAGAATACATTTTTTTAAAGCTGTGTAAAGCGAGTTAACATACAGGATATAAATGGAACTTTTACAATATTCTGAATAGTGCAACTAATCTTCTTGTTGTCATATCTTCCCCAATTTAGGGTGCAGCAATTAATAAATTTCCTTATTTGTTTTATATCTACTTATATATATTTTTCCTGTTATTGTTCTTACAAGTATATGCTCCGAACACTACATTAAGTCCAATCTTGTTGATTGGTACACATTTGCAACCGGCGCTATCAAAGATGAAAATGCAGCTTTAATTAAGACGCATATTATTAAAACCGACTTCATTGCAGTGGAATGAAGTCGAAACTCATATGATTATAGCGGATGAAACGATTTTCACAAAAGATCCCAAAACACTTTTATAGTTTTGCAGAAAATATCAACATTGCAAACATAGAGCACCTTTAACTTTTTTTGACAACGAGTACAAATTTTATTTGTTGAGTTACTGCATATATTATAACAAAATTTGTCCGGGTTTTTTACATAATCGGAGAAAGACTAATCTATTTGCCGAAATCATATGAATGATGAATCGTCGAAACTTAGCTGTCTTGATTTCGCGCCACATTTTACTGCCTCTAATTTTATTTTATATTTTTGAATTTTACCATTTTCCTGTGTCTATCAATAACGTGTCTAATAATAATGTAATGTATATATGTATATAATGTGCTTATACCGATGAACGTTTTTTATACCGTAGGGTAAAAAGGGTATATTCGGTTTGTGCAAAGTATGTAACATGCAGAAGGAAGCATCTCCGACCCCATAAAGTATATATATTCTGAATCAGCATGACGAAAGAAATCGATCTAGACATGTCCGTCCGTCTGTCCGTCCGTCTGGATGAACGCAAGGATCTCAGAAACTATAAAAGCTAGAATAACCAAAGTTGGAATCCAGATTCTCCTAGGTCCGAGAAAGGACGAGTTTATTTTATTTTTTGGAAGTTTCCCCCCCTTTCCCCGCTACAGAATTTCGTCAATAGCGTCCACATTTCAAATGCTACCTAAACCAAACAAACTAAACCAAACTGCACACATAATTTATACATATTTATCTACTGTTGTTTAAAATTTTATATAATTCATTCAATGCTAAGAAAAGTTATTAGCGAAACAAATTCTGGCCAGTACAACCCCCCAAACTGCAGCAACAAGTTCGCTCTTCTTCTTCCTCTTTTTGCTGCTGCTTTGGGCGCATATAACTCAGTGACGGAAGTTTACCTGGGTACAGGGTATTACACTGTCGGGCTTGCTCGACTGTAGCGTTCTCTCTTGTTTTTTATACTTTACAACTTTAACTCAATTTTAAACTTTTATGTTCACTGCAACTCAGCTGATCAATAAGGCGGAACAATTTTTATTTATCAGCAAAATTGTAGGACATTTAAGAATCGGAAAAAACATTTTCTAAATCATGTACCCATAGGTCACAGACCCCATGAT